TTTCCTTCAGGCTACAGAGCTGCCGTCGGGTACCCCGCTGCCCTCTACTACAAAGAGCTGCTGAGGAAATACCCTGGCGCGAGGGTGGGTGAGGCATACGATGGGTGGATGGCAATGCACGGGCACAGTCATGACACGAGTGTGTGTGTTGCGCCTGTCCAGGTGATAGTGACCACACGCGGCCTCGATGGATGGTTTGAGTCGGCTGAGAGGACAGTCTTCCGCTTGCCGTCGGTCCTGCTGTCCTTCCCTGCCTACCTCAGCACACTCGTGTTCCACCAACATGCCCTAGTCTCCATGCACCTGGCCCTGGACAAGGCCCGCAAGGTCAGCCAGCAGGGAGAAGAGCCTGGTGGGATGGTCTGCAGACGGTTATGAATCCACCCCCCTCTGTGTGTGTGTGTGTGTGTGTGTGTGTGTATGGTGGTAGTGGTTTGAGGGCGACCGTCGTCGCGGCATCATCGACCGCGAGAAGACCATCGAGCGGCACAGGAGCCACCTCGACTCCATCATACAGCACATCAACCCTCGTCACCGGCAGCTGCGACGGCCATTGCCATTGTCTTTGGCTGCGAAGGTGAGGCCCGAAGGGCCGAGCCGAGCAACGACTAGCCAGCGATTGATGGAGGCGGAGGACACAGAAGGTGCCCGCAGCGCCGACGGCAGGTCAGTCAATGTGAGTGATTCATGTGTGGCGAGCGAGGGATGCAGCCGTCAGGCTGCAGACCGATCACTGTTCTGTGTTTGTTTCTGGATGTGTTTGTTTCTTCAGGTATGCTCATATCGGTGTGCTGCACGGCCTCCTGAACCAGTCGCCCCTCCAGCCACCCAACTGATGCACAGCCGCCGTGGCGGGCAGGTTCGACGGCGACGACCTCCTTCGACATGCCATTCGTCGCATGTATCGTTCTCGCCAGCAGTGCCCACACGAACATAGGTGAGAAAGGACAGCAGGTCCTCTGTGATGATTGAGCCATTAATTGGCTTGTGCTGGTTCCCTGAATGCAGTGGTCGTCCGTGTCATCACCGCCGGCCCTCTACCGCCCTTCTGGTGCGCGGTCTGCTGAGCGACACCATTGCAGACATGCTCATCTACCAGGAAGAGGCAACAGAGCAGTGAAGGTGGGTGCTTGTCAGTGTGGAGTGAGATGGCTGCTGCCTCACCCACCCCCTCTGCTCGTTGTGTATAATTTGGTGGGCTAGGCGAGGCGAGCTGACGCGACATGCGTGTGGCGGACATGGGCTATTGAGTTGGAGGGGGGGGCATAAACGATATGAACGTGTGCATAGTGTGTGTAAACAGAGGTACATATATGTATTGCCCATGGATGGGTGTGTCCCAGTTGGACCGGATGAGGGTGAGAGGGGGATGTGGCTGGTGCGTCAATGAGTCCATGGATGGATGGATGGATGGATCTATGCATGGCGGTGGACACCTCGTGTGTGTGTGTGTACAGATGAACCATCATTGCATGCACGTCAGACACACCACACCGCCCACAAACCAATGAGTCGGTGGAGTATCTCGTGAGACAGGGGATGGGTATCTCGTGAGCGGTGGAGTGCGCTAGAGGTTGCGGCAGAAACACACACATACGCGCACACACACACAACCAACTGGCTGGCTGGCTGGCTGGCTGGCTGGTCGGTCGCCGTATAGAAAGCCTGTATGGACGTTCGTTTCCGTTCCGGGAAGAAGCTTGCGTTTATTTATGTATTATCTAGGCAATGTTTCGTGTCTTTCAATGCACTGATGCGGCCCCTTCCTTGTTCTCTGCGTCGATGCATGGTACCTCCGTCGCGGCTTGCAAGGGAAGCAGGCACCGCGCATCGACGCAGACCCAGGAGAGAAGACCCACATCAGTCAGCCAGCCAGACAGCCGGACACACACACCCATGACACGCCTGCACTCCTCCCTCCTTCTGGCTGCCTGGTTGCCGGGCGGTGGTGGGTTGTGGCCGTGTGTGTGTTGGGTCGTCAGCTGTGCTGTGTGTCGGCGAAAAGGGCCACACTCACTGAGGGCAGGCAGGCAGGCAGCAGGCGGAGGGAATGCAGTGCACGTCGCGCGATCCATCCATCTATCTATCATGCTCCCATAACTCCCTCGATGGGCACACAAAACAGCCATTCGGACAAATGGTCGGGCGAACATACATCGACGTATTGACATAAGGGGGGAAGGGCAGACAGGCAGCCCAACCAGGGGGGCGGGCGAGTGAGTAGTATAAACAATTACATAGGCGAGTGAGTATGAATCCATCCCATCCATCCATCCGTCGACACATCCGTCAAGGGTGCATGACGGATGTGTCGACACATGCGGTGCGCACACACTCGACGGATGGTCCACACCAATCACATGTCGGTGGTCGTTTGGCGATGCATGCTACGAATAAATAAAAGGCAAAACGGGCAGGCAGCCAGCCAGGCAGCCAGCCAGCCATCGCAAGATATAGATAGATGAGTAGATAGAATCTCTGTCTGCAGTAAGTAAGGACTCATTCATGTATGTGGATGGAGTACGAATGTCCGTCCATGGGACGGACGAGTGCACGGACCCATGAAAGGCAGTCAATCCTAGCTCACTGAACCCATCCTATGTCCCAGTCAGATACGGTGCGGTGCCGAATGTTTGAATGCATTCAATGTGTGTGTACAGCTGTGTGTGTTGTGTGTGTTGGGGGCTGTGGTTGGTTGGTGTACTTCAAGGATTTTCCTCTGGTGGTAGTGCGTAGTCTGCAGCGTAGTAGGTCTCACCTGAGCGAAAGACACAGAAAATGATGGAATGAACGGCATTCGCTCCGTGCGGTGCATGTGTATGTGTATGTGTCCCAGCCGCCCACCCACCTGGTTCGTGGCGCATCGCGGGTGCGGCGTGTCCAGCCGAGGCCTCGCTCTGCGATGCAGACGGCGAAGACGCATCAGAAACTGAAAGAAACGAATAGACAGTGATGCTTTGGTTGATGCGCGCACCGCCTCTGTATGGTTCGTGATTCCTTCTACCTGATTCATAGGTGGTACTCTTGAGTCCCCCAGCACCATCGGAGCTCACGGACGGCTCCTCTCCCGCAAACTTGCCCGCTGATGGCAGGACACACAAGCACACGGACACCGATACAGATGAGCGTTTCGTGCACGTCTCCTCTTCCCTCGCTATCCACCTGAAGCACTCGCTGCTGAGGGATCACAGACACACACACACACACACAGAGAGAGAGAGAGAGGGAGAGAAACGGACAAGACACATTGACTTATTGCCGTGCGTGTGTGTGTGTTTCCTTCTCATCCAACCATGCGTCGCATACCCGTCGCACCGCTCTGGCGCTTCACCATGATGAAGTTGGGATGCTCGAGAATGGATGCCGAAACCCCCTCCGCCATCATGTTGATCTTCCTGAGTGGCCCATTGGCGCTCAGCAGCTTGTCGATGCTTTAGTGCAGCTGCGGGTCGACAACAGCGATCTCGTCAATGGATGCTAACAGAGGAAGGCATACGCAGAGCACAAACACACAAACACACAAACACACAGACAGACAGACAGACTTAGCAAGACGTTTCCAGCGGTGTGGGTGAATAGATGCAAACGTACACTTGATGAGGTTGTATAGCCTCTTGAAGTCATACGGGATGCTGACGCTGGGCCTCTGGATCTTGTTGTTATCCTTGGGAGTCTTGCGAGTCTCGTCGATGACGCGGCATATGGCGGTGAAGGCGGGCAGCCGCTGGCGCAGCATGTTGACGAACGGCTTGTCCCAGACACAAACCTATGGATGAAGACACACACACATATCCTCCATCCGACACAACATGTCAGTTGGCCTTCTTTCCCTCAAACTTACCTGCTTCGTGCCGACCACCATATCGCCCTTGCCCATCTCGCTATCCCCACCACCACCACCACCGTCACCACCATTGCCACCTGCAGTGTCGCTCTCGGCGTGCTTCTTGTCGTCCTCCACACCGTCCACACCACCACCGTCCGCACTGCTGCCACCGCCACTACCACTACTCTGCTGCTGCTGCTCCTCCTCCTCCTATGTGGCAGTGTGATGAGACAAACAGATAGACGGAAGGGGTGTCCATCGACCCGGTGTCCATCTACCTGTTTCGCTTCATCGAGCTTCTCTTTGATGTGTTCGGTGAGCGGCATTGGACCCTCTATCGCAGCCCAGACGGCGCTGAGACCGTTGCCCCAGGTGGTGGTGTGGGGCTCGGGAAGCTTGGAGTGATGGCGGTGGTGTCGCTCCCCCACTCGCCACATGAGGTCCTGAAGCAACGCGACGTTCTCGTCACTCATCTGCATCCACACATCCACCCACAGACAGACAGGGATCTGCTGCGTGGGTCCATTGATCCATCTTCCCTTTTCTCTTCACGTATGTACCTCAGTCAACTCGAGCAGGTCGAAGGCTTGGTTGGGATAGCGGTGTATGAGGTGCACCGCACTCTCATGCGGCTTCTGCCGCGTACCGAAGTCCTTGGTGTCCTTGGTGTTGTAGAAGGGGGTCTTCTCGAGCAGCAACATGTCGCTGACGGCTACAAACACACACATGCACACCCACAAGGAGGCGTCCATCCACCCACCCACACCCCCACCCACACCAGACAGTGTGCTGACCTCTGAGGCCAGCTCCGATGATCATACTGGCCTCCAATGCCGTGAAGGGTCGCTTCTGGCTTCCGATGTCGTCTGTTGTGGGGGTGAGGTCTGCGACGAAGTCGGGCCCAACCCCATGCTTGTCGCACATGGACGCCAAGACACACAGGATGCCCTCGACGCCCGGCTACAGCACACAACAGAAGGCAGCGATGAGCCAACGGTTGGTGTGGTGTGTGTGGTTGCCCTGCTCACCCGTATGATGCCGTCCTTGTCCATGAGGTTGTGCTTCTGCAGCATCCACGGCATCAAGTAGCTGTCTAGCACGTCCAGCGACCTCTGCACCGAATCGTAAAACTCGTACAGGTGACGAACAGCCGCCTGGTCCTGTGCCAACACACATATGCATATGTGCGTCTGCGTACGTGGCTGTTGACGTGCTTGCTCACCTTGGCTGCTGCCATTGCCATGAAGGGGGCGGCGCGGCGCTCGGCAGCCATGAACTCGGCCACCTCCCGCACCCATGACCATACGGTGAAGACGTCATTGATCTCCCACTCGAGCAGGGACTCACGGAGGCCGGCGAAGAGCCCTGGGGGGACGTTGTCGTAGCCAATGTTGATCACAGCTGCGTGCACATCCTTCGAGAACCTAAAAGGCAGCCAGGCAGCCAGCAGGTGTCCGTGGGTATGCTCCAGTGTGTCCCACTGACTGACTGACTGACTCAGTCACTTACTCACCAGAATGGCAGTACTTCTCTGAACGCATCGAGTATTTTGTCGAACGCCACCTTCTCCTCGTTGGAGCAGCGCTTGAGGAACTCAGTACTGTTGATGAGCTGTGCGACCTCTTCCTGAACACAAGGAGCCACACAACAGATGGATGAGCGTGGTTGCTGCGTCTTGTGTGCGGCGCCGCTTACCTTGTCAGTGGTGGTGCATAGGCCAAGTAGTATCTTGCTGTCCTCTATGGCGTCCACGCGACGGTTGATCAGCTCCTTGAGCAGGGTCTCGAAGTCGTCCTGGTCCAGACGACTCACCAACAGCACCATGGGAGCCTGCCACACAGACAGACACACACACACACACACGCATTGGGGCGTGTGTGTGTTGTGTGTGTGTGTGTGTGTGTGTGTGTGTTGTGTGTGTGTTGTGTGGTTGTGTGCATGCTTGTGGGAGGCTGGCAGCGTACCCGCTGCTCCTGGCGCGCGAGAGTTTGCATGAGCGAAATCTTGCTTTGCAGGTCTTCTACGAACAGGTTGACGTCGCGACACCTGGGTACACGCAGAGGCAGCGACACCACACACAGATGAAGGACAGCATGTATGGTGGTTTTTTGTTCTCTGTCGCTGCTCACTTGTACAACATGACTATTGAGGGCTCCTTGTGTTGGTTGATGCCAGGAGGGGGCCCAGGCGGCGCCCCGCGGCCACGCGGCGCACTGCACAGGTACGTGGGAGCATGCACCTTTGTCGGGCCGTTCTCTCTCCCTTCTCACCTGGGTTGTGTGGTGAGCGGCGGGTTCTGCAGTCGGCGCGTCACCTCGTGCACCAGCCGCCTAAACAACTCAGCGACCTCCAGCAAAAGCAAGCAACAGAATGCATAAATGAAGTGAGGTGGCCGAAGCATGTCTGCCTGCCTGCCTGTCTGCCTGTCTGCCTCTGTAGTTCTGGTGCCATTGACCTTCGATTGAGTGCGCTTGACAGTGTGGCCCTCTTTGCCCAGCTCCTGCAGCAGATTGGTGAGCTCTGAAGATGCCACCTGGGTGAGGTCCTGCACAAAGCCGTCAGTCAATTGAGCATGCCACCCACCTGCGGTCTTCGGGCTTACCGTCAATGACATCCAACCGTAGCGTTCCATGATTTCCTGAACAGCGTCGTGCTGCTCCTCCTTGCTCTCGGTCTCCATTGTGCGCTTATCCTTCTTGGATCTTCGCTCGGACAAGGCGAAAACTCCGCACCGCGGCGGTTCGGTTTAGAGAACGCTTTTCTGTGAAAACTCACCAGAACCCTTGACCCAAACCCGGCAGCTGGAGTCATGGCCATAGTGTGGTGATGGATGAGCAGCCGCCGAAGCAGCAGTTGGCGAGGATGTTTCTGAAGGAGTTTGAGTTGGCGGATCAGGACCGAGATGTGCCACCAGTGATGGGGCGGCCGCCTGTGAGGGTGCTGGGAGAAGCCAGAGAGGTCGGGCAGGGCGCCAACGCAAAGATCTACAAGGTCGATGGCCTCGACAAGTGAGTGAGGGCACTCGGTGGAAAGAGAGGGTCACGAAGCAAAGAAAGAACAGCACTCTGGATGAATGCATGGATTGAATGGACAGGACTGTGTGGAAGCTAATGGCATTTGAGGAGCCCATGATCACAAGGATGTCACCAGCAGAGGGCAAGAAGTACATGGCGCTGCAGCAAGAGGTGCGGACCATGCGGTTCCTTGAGAAGGGCCTCAGCGGCCGCAACATCCCACACGAGTCGCGGCCCTTTTTGCCCGTTCTGGATGATTTCCTCGAGGGCAAGGGGAAGGTCAGGGAGCAGCAACAGGCCAGGACGGGCCTGTTCATCAGCCTGCAGGAGGGGCGGGAGCCGCTGGGCGAGGAGGAAGGGCCGAAGCTGTTTCGTGTCTTCGGCTTCAGTATGCCAGAGATAGATCTGAGTGAGTGAGGAATGCACAGCTAGGGCCCACTGATTGATTCATTCCATCCATCCGTTCGATGTGTCTGTCCACCCTATTTGCTGTCGGTGCTCTGTTGTGTTGTGTTGTGTTGTGTTGCAACCAGATGTGTTCGGCGACTGCGAAGAGCTGGATGGATGCATCTCGCTCATGGAGGACAGCCAGGCCTTCTCGAGTGAGGAGATTGCCCTCCCCCACATCCAGCACTTTCTCATGCGTCGTGTCCTACTGGTGCTGGAGTTGCGGCGGGGAATCATCCGCCTCCTCGACAGTGGAGTGCAGCTCGGCCTTCTCGCCATCGACAACATCCACAAGGACTCTCTCGTCAGGATCCCGCCAATAGAGGAGGCGCCGTCGGTCGACTTGCCCCCCAACGCCAGCCACCAGCAGCAGCAGCAGCCCCTCCCTCCCGTCTCCGACGCCCTAACAGGAGACAACCGCAGCATCCTATCGCCAGACCTGCGCATGCTGGATATGGGTCATGCCCTCCGGCGGAAGCCCTCAGACCCGCCGCCACCTGAACACGCCCCCCTCGGCCGGCTGGCTGTCCTCGCCACCATCGACAAGGAGGCCTCCTTGCGCGACCGGCCGTGGACCGTCACACCACACTACTACGCGCCCGAGGTGGCGGCCATGCTGGCCAAGCAGTACGAGGACGAGAGGGCGGCCATCGAAGCGGCCAGACACCGCGTCAGCGAGGGCACCGCCAACGCGAAGGAGGAGAGGCTCGCCAAAGCGCTTCACGGATGGGAAGGGGTGTGCGCCCTGACCGATGGGCGGAGGATCGAGGGGATCGAGGAGAAGGGCCGCGCCCTCAGGGCTAAGCTGAATGAGCATCACTTGTACTACGACGGCACGGACGGGACGGGCCAGAAGGTGCGCAGTGCTCGGATGTGGGTGGGGGAGGCTGCCCTCGTCTGCGCTGCCGGCCAAGAGCTCCTGTCACTGCTCACCGGCGTCTCCACGAAGACTTACATGGAGAGGGGCAACCCTCTCGTGTGGTCTCGCTCGGACGCCGAATTGCAGTGTAGGACCCAGCTGCTGGCTGTGGAGAATGGCCTGACGTGGCCGCAGGTGGTCAACGAGGTCCTCCCGCCGGGCGCCAGCGAGCCCACATTCCGGTGGGATGAGGATTGGATCGAGCCTCGCCATTGTCGCCCCTTGCTGTTCCGCCAGGAGCCGTGCATGAGGTGGGCAAATTGTGTGGGTGAGGAGCTGATGCGGGTGGTGAGGGAGTGCCTGGCCGAGATGCCGCACCAGAGGCTTCAAGGGGGTCTTGTCGAGCTGGACACGCGCATCAGGGCCATCCAGCAGATCGTGATCAACGCGTACACCGCTTCACAGCCCCCCGCCATCGCACCAGCAGCAGCAGCAGCTGCTGCTGCTGCTTCAAGCCCACCCCCACCGCTCATCGCCACGGCTGCCAGGGCACGGCAACAGGGAGAGGAGGACGACATAGAGTCGCCGCCAGCGAAGAGGGCCAAAGCGGAGCATGTCGGCGTTGAGGGCTCGACAGCAGCGGCAGCCGCATCGTCCCGGGATGATGCTGCGGCAGCACCTGCTGCTTCTTCTTCTTCCCGGCACCATCCTGCGGCTGCCCCCGCCCCTCTCTCGCCCACGCCCCCTGCCGGTGAAGTCAGCATGGTCGACGCGGCTACTAAGGGTGGCGGTGATGGCGATGTCCTCATGGCAGCGGCAGAGAGCACCGGCGAGGCGGAGAGGGCAGGAGAGGCGCCTGAGGCGGCCCCAATGGACGAGGAGGGCAAGCGACAGCAGGGGGAGGGAGAGGGCAGTGCGGTGGGCGAGAGTGGGGCGGTGCTGTCGTCACCTGACGCAGCCGATTTGCCTGGCCAAGGTGGTCAGGCCTTTTCGCCAGCAGCGGCAGCAGCGTCGTCTCGGGATGGTGCCGCCGCGGCAGCAGCTGCAGGTGTTCCTTCGTCCCAGGACCTTTCTGCCGCAGCCCCCGCCCCTCTCTCCACTAACGAGACCAGAGAGGCGCCCCCTGCCGACACAGCCACCATGGCCCGCGCACCTGGCGCCCACATGGCACCAGCAGAGAGCGGCGGGGAGGCAGCCGGCAGGGCGGAGAGGGCAGGCGATGAGGACACCGCTTTAGAGGAGGATGGAGACCACCGGGTGGCGGATGTACAGCAGCGAGAGGGAGAGGGCAGTGCGGTGGGGGAGAGGCATGTGGTGGTGCGTGAGGCTGACGGTCTGATGCAGATGAATGGGGCCGACGCGGCCACGAATGCGGTGAGGAAGCGACAGCAGCACAGCACAGTGAATGATCAGATCCCCTCTGCATTCTCAAGAACGACTCCCTCTTATGGATTGTGTTGTTCACGCAGGTGCCCTTGCCATCCTCCGTGCCTGAGGCCCATCGGGAGGAGGAGAGGGCAGCGGCCGTGGCATTTCCTGGCGAGGCTGCCTTGCCCAGCGGCCAGCAGATGGACGAAGATGGTCATCGTGGGGATGATGATGCTGATGGGTCGGCAGCCGCTCTCGCTGCACCACAAGGCGACGATGCCGCTCCATCCAATGCACCACCAGTACCGGTACGATGGCAACAGACACACAGACATCAAAGGCATTGTCATGTCGCTGTGGTTCGTAATCGTGTCTGTGTGGCTCCACTCCATTGCAGATGTTTGGCGTACCTAGAGTAGCTGTAGCTGTCCCTCAGACGACGGGCGGGCAGCAGGTACACACACACAAACTGATAGATAGGCAGCCGAGGGAATTGCACAACGGACTGGCGGCGCACTCGTGTATGTGTCTCTGTGTCTGTCTGTCTGTCTGTGCGATGCAATCAATGCAGGATGCTCGCCCGGTCCCCATGCTGCCCCGCCCTCCGAGTGACGCTGCCATGTCAGCAGCCCGTCAATCGCTGCAGATGATGGTCGGCGCATCTGGAGCAGGTGTGGCCACATCCCCTTCCCACCACCAGCAGGTAATCTACACAACAAACAGTGAGGGGCAAGGAGGGCGCAGCCGATGCAAGTTGAACATGATGTGCATCTCTGTCTGTCTGTCTGTGCTGTGACATGAAGGGTGTTGCTCGCCCACTGCTCACGATGCCCCCGCAGGCCCCTCAGCCACCCAGCGGACAGAGCCCGTCTGGTTCGGGAGCCGGTGCGTCAACGGCGGGCCCATCCCCACAGCTCAACGGCTCAGCTGCCATACGACAACCAACCCACAATGAAATCCGGGATACGACAGCGGATCACATGGACTTGGACGAAGATCCCCCTGCCCCTGCCCCACCTCCACCCCCACCCCCACCCCCACTCATGCAGCTTCCTCTGTTCTGCCCGCCTCTTGGCGGCATCGCCTTCACACCCCCGCCGATCGCCCATGGCGGCCTCCCTCTCATTCCACCGCACAACCCCATGGCACCCATTCCGCCCAACACTGCCGGCCACCCACACCCAAACACGGGCGCCACGAGGCCGCGACCGTCCCTCTGGCGACCGCCTCCAACGACGAGGCCAAGCATGCCAGGCTAGCCATGGCAGCAGCAGCAGCAGCAACACGGCAGGGGACAGTAGACGGCACACAGCGGTGCGGGAGGGGGAGGCAGGTGGACAGGCAGAGAGAGAGAGAGAGTGCCTGGCGCTGAGCGGGAGGGTCAGTGCAGTGCAGTGCAGAGGGATGTGGTCTGAGGGAGTGTGTGTGTGAATAGGGGAGGCGACTGAGTGATTAGGGGCCGGGCTGACTGACTGACTGATGCCGTCGGTGTCTGTCTGGAATGCATTGATTGCATTGCGTTGTGTTGTGTTGTGCTGCAAACGTATGTGTACATCTGTATTGGTGGGAGTGAGTGTGTGTGTGCAGATGAGATGGCCAGGCTGCTTCTCGTGCACTGACTGACGCACCTTGTGAGTGCCTTACTCGCAGGGACCGTCAAGAGCACTCATTGCAATGCACAGATAGCGCCACTCACTCACTCTCTGATCTGTCTGTGCCACACCACACCCCTCATGCTATGCGCTGGTGGCCATGATCAGTGGCGGCCCGGCCATGGTGATGAATCAGTCATTGTGAGCAAGCCACTCCTGAAATGCATTCACAGACGCAACATGAATGTTCCTGCTACCAGCAATCTTCTCGTCCTCACTGGTGGGCCCTTGCAGTGGCTTGAGCCGCAGGTACTTCCAGTGGCTCCTCGAGTCGAAGCCTCTCATCCAGATCCCGAAAAGCCATTGAGCTCGCATCATCCGATCCCGAGCTCGCAGAGAGAGGGAGAGAAAAAGAAAGAGAGAGAGAGAGAGGGAAGAGAGGATGCCGCCAATCCGGACGCCCGCTGCTGCTGCCCTCAGGCAGACCCTGATGAGTAGGGGCATCGAGGTGCCCGACGTGTACAAGGACTCCAGGGAGGCCTACGTGCTCAAGTACCAGCGCCTGAGGCGCGAGCACCCGGCAGTGAGCAAGGGACGGGAGGCACACCGCACAGCGCGGGCCAGCACGAGCATCAACCAACAATTTTTGTCTGCTCACTGCCTGCAGGAGTGCAAGGCCTTCCTGGAGTCCGTGCGGGGCACCCAGGAGGGGAAGGACATGAAGAACATGAACTACGACGTTGAGTCGTACAGCCGCCAGGTACATCTACAGACCTATCTACCTACATAAACAACACTTGACGTTCTGCTGTGCTGTGCTGTCTGGGCAATCCGCTGTCATGCAGAAAGCGGCAGCCACTCCCACCACGGCCTGCCCTAGCAGCAAGAAGATCCTGGTGGTGCCGGTGTCCACCTGGGGTGAGGGCGACAACGGCTGGTATGCCAGTGCCCTCACCCAGTGGGACATCGCCCACTGGGAGCGCGACGGCAGGCTGTGGATGGTCACGTGGGCGCCGCCCAAGGAAGCCTGCTGCTGCGTGGAGCTGGGGCGGGGGGCGATTCGGGGGATGAGGATGGCGGGCGCTCACTTGGCGGCTGCGGGCGACGAGATCGCCCGCGTCACCAAATCGCTCTTCCACTGAGGGGCGGTCGGCAGCCTCGTGTGGGTGGTGTTTGCCGCGCGCCGGAGGCAGTCGACCGCTTCTTCCCCCCGTCCCCCATCCGCCCCCGTCACCCTCGCCCCGCTTCGCCCCGCCCCTCCCCGCCCCGCCCCTCGCCTGTGTGACTGAGTGAGCCAAGTGTATAAGATGGTGCTGACGGCGCCCCCCCAGACCTGCCAGACGCAGCAAGTCGCTCAGCCCGCTGAGTTGAGCCGACCGACGACCGGTCGCGCCCCCCCAGACGTACCAGAAGCTGACTGATATCGGCGTTAAGAAGAGCCACCTTCGCCTCGCCCCTCCCCTCCCGTGAGTGACTGAGTGAGCGACGAGCCGTCCAGACCATCCATCATCCGTGAGGCGGCCGAGAGCGACACCAGCAGCCCCTAGGCTTCCTCTCCTCCCCTCCCCTCTCGCATGCCTCTCGCGTCGGCTGGACCTGCTGGCCATGGATGGGTGTGGCTGGCGTGAGTGACGTCTGGACCTGCTGCATGGATGAGGAGCCTATCCGTCCCCTCCTGCAGGACCCTATGGCCATTATCGAGTCGGTGGCGGGGCCACCGAGGCATCGGGCGAGGCAGCGAAGGACAGCCGCATCATGTGTGACAAGTGCGGCAGAAGCTTCAACCAGGAGGCCCTCAAGAAACACAAATGCACCGCCCAACACGGACACAGAAAGGTAGGCAGGGCAGCCACACAGAAACAAGGGGAATAACACTCAGTACTTAGGTGGCTCGGCTGCCTGTGCCTTGTGTCTTTGGCGGCTGTGCCTGGTTGCGGGCAGGTACAATGCCCAGCAGCGTCGTGTGGACGCGGCGGGTCTGCCGATAGACTTCGAGTTGTGTCCCCATTGCGACACGCGGTTCTCGCCCAAGGTGTTGGCCAAGCACACGGCCATGTGTCGCCTGGCACACCGGTCGCGCAGCGGCAGCGCCACCTCACGAGGCGCCTCTGAAGACGATGACACACCACTTCCCAGGAAGGAGCATGACCCACTCCACCCCCCACACCGACCTGCCAAGCACAGGACCAAGAGAACCGATAGTAGGGCGGCGGCGGGGGCTGGTGGTGGAGGGGGTGCCAGTGGCGAGAGGGCCGACAGAGGGAGGGACACGATGGGGCCAAGGGAGGGGGGCCGCGGACAGACAGGAGTGGGTCGGCCAAGTAGCATCAGGACCAAGGCCACCACCACCGCCCGTGCGGCGGGGGCGATGGAGCCGCACACATGCCCCACAGCAGATGCAGGGACTGCCGTCACCACGCCCAAAGGAGGAGATCGCCTGGACGCACCTGCCCGCGGCTCGAAAGACTCACAACGCACTCCTGCTGCCAAGGAAGGGTACCTACGCACCGCACCGCACGGACGCACATAAGCATGGTGGATGCCGACTGTCTGTCTGTCTGCCTGTCGGTCTGTTTTGGCGTCCGTCGTATGTCATACATATATGTGATTTCAGCGCGTCCCCTGCCGTGGACGAGGTTGGCAGCCCCAAGAAGACACGGCCGTCAGAACGGTGAGAAGAAAACCACTGACACACTGGCAGAACCACATACATCCATACATACATCCATGCCTCTGTATTCATTCATTGATTGGTCCTGCCATGTGTGCTGTGCTGTGCTGTGGTGTGGTGCACACTGTGTGTCATATATTCCAATCCACCCTTTATCGTTTGTTTCCTTTGCCCGTTCGTTGATTTGGTCTGCTTCAGCCCCACGAGTTTTGCTGCCCCGTGGCCCCAGCCCCCCTCGTCGGCGGCCCCCAACATCGCCACGGGGACCGATTCCCTCACGGACGAGTCAGTTCGCCACACGTCCCGCGAGACATCCCGCTCCCGCGGACCCACACCCAGACGACAACCGCCCAAGCAGACCGTCACCCGAAGGACTGATGACACCAAAGGGTCTGGTGCAAGTGCGCCTGCTGCTGCAAGTGGCAATTCACGGCAGAGTGGCGGGGCGATCCAGGCCCCAAGGGCCTCACCTCGACATAGCATCATACCAGTAAGTAACCAAGGCAGGAAGGCAGGCCATACATAGCCAACACCTACCTACCTGTCGGTGTGTCTATCGATTGGCAGGCTAAGGGACATCTCCATCCCGGCCGCTCCGTCAAGGCGTCTGGCGGTACCGGTGCGGCCCCGTCGTGGAGGAGAGCTGATCGGGCTCACGGCCACCCACGGCGGCCTCTCACGCCGCCGCCGAGAGCGACCCAGCAAGCACATGAGCCGACCAAGGGTGGCAAGCAGCAGCAGCAGCATTATCTCCGCAGCAGGACGCCCCCACCCTCTTACACAGCTCACCAACGATCCACCAGGCCCGACCTGACGACCATGCACTCACAGCAGCGCAAGCGCGAGGCGGTCGGTGGGACACGCAACCGCAAAGAGGCCAAAGAGAGGAGGGCGAGTCACGCGGAGAGGGATTCATCTGCTGGTGGCTATGGGGCCAACGAGGCACCGCACCAGCCCCACAGCGATTCGACCGATGGCGAGACGTTCGGCATGTTGCCGCTTGACAGCCCGCCGGCCGAGGGCCATGCGGCTGACGCACCTGGTTCGATGGGCACCGGCCATGAGGGCAAGGCAGTTGAGGCCAGTGGTGTTGGTGATGTGGCGGATGACAGCGGCGACCCGCCCTCTCCTATTCCCATACGCAAGGAGGATCTGCCCGAGAACGACAAGAGGCTGGGCAGCGCTGAGTTTTACCGCCGGCGACTTGACCGCAAGCAGGCCAAGAGTCTGCACGAGAGCAGTGGCTGGAGCGGGTCCGTCACAAGTGGCAGTGGCGTCAACTCGAGCACAATCAGCCCTCTACATGCCATCTATGGCACTGCCGCTGCCGGGTCGACGACGCTGCCACTAGTGCCGAAGCCGCCGACGCTCACAACCGCTGAAGGTGATGCTCCTCAGGCACCGCCGTCGCCTGCTGAGGAACAACAAAAACACCACCACCACCAGCGGCAGCAGCGGCATCAGCATGCGGTTGTGACTCCGTCCGGGTCCTTTGTCGCCGCCACGTCGGCCGCGTCTGCGGGGCGGACGCCCACGGGCGGCAAGTCGTCATGCGGTCTCCTTGTGGAGCAGCGGCGGCCATTGCAGGTGTCGACCGACTCCCAGTCGGTAGGCGAGGTGGGTGACAAGGTTCGCACCCCTAGTGATGCCGGTGGGCGGTCGGGTGAGCTGTCATCCAAGGCGCCCGTGACACCCAAGGGCTCGCCCGGCTCCCCTCAATCCACCGCTCCCCCATGGAACCCCGACGAAGACAGCGTCCTGCTCATGGTCAAGGACCTTCATGCACGACTTGACAGGTAAGTGGGTGGGGGGCTGGGGGGCTGGGGGGGGGGGGTGAGGGACCTCACCAACCTGACCTGACTGACTCGAAGGAAGGAAGGAAGGAAGGAAGGAAGGGAGGAAGGGAGGAAGCACATGTATGTATGTATGTATACACACACCACACCCACAGCGCAGGATGTCTGTCTGTCTGTCTATGTATCGGCCGATCGGTGTCTTGTCTGATGGTGCTGTGTGACATGACCGACAGGATGGTTGACAAGACGCCTCGTTCGGTGACGCCCCGGGCTCCATCGCAACAGCACCACCAGGAGCAGCTCATAACTCCCACCGCACGTCCATCGGTCATTCTGGCTACTACATCGCCACGAGGACACGCCGCAGCAAAGGCGGTCGAGACGCCCACTGAGCCGCCCCGTTATCGTCAAGCTGTGCCTCAAGCCTCTCAGGAGCCGACTCAGCCGCCCCCTCCCGCCAGCCTCCGCGATGTGAGGCCAAAGCCAGTGCGTTTCGACATCAGTCCGGGCCCCAGGCACCGTGACACACGTGGTGGTGGCGATTGGAGCAGACACAAGGAGCGATACCCAGCCGGAGAGGACCAGCGTGGGGTGGGCCACCAACCGACCCCCTCACACCAGCGCATCCCACCGTCAGAGGGGCCCGACGATCGGCACATGCACCGCTCGACAGCAAGGCGGGAGAGCCACCAAGGGGTGGGCGGTGATCGACCGGCAGAGGTGGATATGTCGGGTGGGGGTGCGTTTGCATCTCGGGCCTTTCCGCAAGCCCGGCTGCGTCTTGTGCGGGACGACAGGGCCCGCCACACTGAGTTCAACATCCACCCCGCCGTGCCCCCTCTCCACACCCGACCCGCCCATCACCCCACGGTGGTCGCGGAAGAAGAACCCACGCCATACCAGGATGATACCCACGCACCTGTGGGTCACCTACACCGGCCGAGAAAGGAGCCCGTGGACCACTACGGTGGGGCGTACGGTCGTCATCCGATGGAGCCGAGGGTGGTGGAGGTGTCTCAGCCGCGGTATGAGGACGTGCCTAGTCTGCAGGGGAGCAGCCGCCGTCAAGACTATGTGGACCATCGTCATGTCAGCAATGTTGGCTGGGGGAGGGACAGGGGGAGGGTGGTGGTGGAGGAGCCGGACAGCCGCCCCAACTCTAGGGATCTTCTACCGGCGCCAGAAGGGCTGGCACTGCGCCGCGATGACGTCTCCCAGCTATCGTCTTCGACGACTGCTTTGGCGCCGGTGGGATTGCCCAAGGCGGGTGAGTCTTTGGAAGATTACGTCAAGGGTCTGTTTGCTCCGATGGTTGCGCTCAAGAAGGAGGTGGCTGAGCAGCGTGCGGCAGTGTATGAGAACAGCAGTAGGCTGGACCATGTGGAGCGGCAGGTGGCCACACATGCCGAGGAGATGAGGCTCATGCGCCAGCAAATGGAAAGGGACTTGAAAAGCGAGATCAAGCATGCGGTACGTACGTCACGTCACTTTCCATCCAACCCAATGCATTGCGTGGGGGTGGGTGCTGTGTGTCATTCACTGATTCATCCATCCATCCGTGTCATCGTTCAGGTGAAGAAGGAGGTGATGCGTCGTGCGGGCGGCCAGTCCGAGGCGTCTGAGGAGCTGCCCGCTCAGCCCCCCATACCCCACAGGGACACCACAACACCACATCAACGACACCCCATGGGTCAGCCAACAACCAACGACACACACGGGGATGGATGGATGGATCGATGACCTGGCCTGTTTGTTGATTCACTCCTGCCGGCTGTGTGTGTGTTTAGATGAGCGTATGGGTTCTCAGGAGTACCAGTCGAGTCCGGTTAGCTATCGTGGTGAGGGCCGCCATCGTGTGGAGGAGCTGCCCCGCACTCCACACACATGGCTGCCCCGGCAATATCGACCCCATCCCAATGGATAACTCACTCACCCACCCACTCACTGGCGCCGCTTACCTGCATTGCATTGCATTGCATTGCATGACATTGCATGTACATAGAGACAGACTGACTGGCTGTGCATAAATCAAATCAAATCGGGCCTTTGATTCGTACCCACCCTATGGATGTACGCATCGGCTAGTGGTTGAGCACCAAGCTGTGTCCGGTCCGCCAACACAGAGCATGTCCCTCCTCCCTCCCTCCTCCAGTCTACGTACGTACACCAGTCCATAGCACAGCACAGCACGGACGCAACCACTTACACACCGGTATGGCATGGATGTCCGACGAGCGATCATTTCGCCCATGTTGGTTCATGGATGCAATGCACCCATATACTAGGCAGCACCCACACAGGAGGTGAGTGGGTCATGCGAGTCTTCGTCTCTTGTAATCGCCCCCTCCATCAGCAGCGTCGGGTGGGGGGTACGGCGGGGGAGGAGGTGGGGGACGCAACTGAGGGGCGTGGCCTGATCAGACACACACAAGGGAACCAACCGATGAATGACGCACCACTAGATGCCTCCATCGTGCGAGGTTGGTTGACACATAGCGGTCGTGTGTGTGATTGATATCTACATGTGTCCCTACCTACCTTGGAAAGGCGGGGCGAATGGTTCGTCTTCCCGCATGTCCATCTGGCGGTTCTCGATGCGCTGATACCGCTGCTCAATCTGACGGTAGATGTACTCCTGGGGAAGGAAACCAGCAACAAATGCGATTAGTAAATACACACACCAATCGATCACACACAGACGAAGTTGACGGCACACGTCGATATAATAGCGTGTCTGTCCTGTTGGGCTGGCTGGCTGGCGGGGTGTGTGGCTGACCCTGAAAGAGTATTCGTTGAATTCGTAGTTGAACCATGCCGACACGTCATGGCCCGACTGGCGCCACGGCTTGTCGTTATTCGCATCCATAACCAACACCACCTACACACACACCATGACAAACCAACAACACATAGTATGTATGTCCCTCCCTCCCTTGCCATGCCATGGTGCGTGCCCTCCTTTCTTCCTTCCCCGGCGTCCCTCCCGAGCCACCCCCTCACCACCTCACCCACCCACCGACCGACTGACCTGTCTAGCCTTCTCGGCGTATTCGCTGGGCTGCTCGGCTGGGTGTGTGAGACTCGAGTCCTTCCTCGTCAGCCGAGGGGCCACACCAATCCCCCCCACACCCGACCCTGCTGCTGCTGCTGCCGCTGCCGCTGCAGGCGCGTCATGTTCCCTGTGTTGGAGGAAGTCCTGCATCGTCCCCTCCAGCCCCAACATGACTCCTCCCGTGTTGTCGTCCTCCTCGTCGCCTGCCGCTGCAGGGGCATGACTCACACCCTCTGATCCTGCTGCTGCTGATGGTGGTGGTGCATCGGACGGTGCACGCCCTGGTGCGGCATCCGCCGCCTGGTCGTCAGATCCTGCCGGCTCGCCGATGGCTTCAGCAGGAGGGGCGGGGACGTACTGCGGTGTGTCGATGCCGAGGAAGGCGTCATCGTACTCTCCGAAGTCACCATAGATATCCTCCTGGCTTCCCTGGTCAGCAGGCGCCCCTTCGGGCGGCTCCTCCACTTGAGCGAATGTCAGCACATCCTCACTCTCATCTGTCAACACATACAGATGACATACAGACAGACAGACAGTCGTGCAACTGCGTGTTGCGTACGTACGTTGGATAAGCTGGTTCAGCCTCTCCATCTCCTCTTGCTCCTCGTCCATACTCACTCAAACACTGGCTGCAGTCGCTCCGTGCTGGATGACTCCCACTGGCGCTCCTTAGTGGGAAGGTCGAAACAATCCGTGAAACCTTGTCTCTCACACTTGTGTGCCTCGATTGTTTGTTAGAGTCCCAAAGGGACATAATGTTCACATACATGTCAGATTGTCCTTTCCCGAGAAAAACCTTACGAATGCACCCACTCACTCACTCACACCTGACCCTTGCGGTCTCCATACCGCAGAGAGACAGACAGACGCAACTGGCCCCCTGTCGGGCGGAGTAGTGTACACCAACCAGGACAGTGCCGGCAACACAACGTTCGACAACAAGCAGCAAGGTAGGCAGGCAGGCGGGCTACATGTAAGCCAAGCAGGACATCCATCCAATCCATCCGATCTATCGATAGTGTACACAAATGCATGCACCACCTGCCTCCCTCCCTCGCGCACACCACACCACACCACACCACACCACAGCACCCACACATTCTACACAGATGGATAAAGCGTCAATCAGACACACGTACACACACGCCAACGCATAGCCGCAGAAAAGCCTGGGCGCTGCGCTCGTTTATCACCCCGCCGCCTCCTGAGGTATACACACCACACACCACACCATCGATCGATTGCCACTCATCCCCTCCCCCTACACACCCGGCCCTCATGGTACGTACCTGCATGCGCTTGATGTCAATGTGGTGCTGCCGCAGCTCGTCGCTCAGATGGTTCCTCATGCTGCTCACATCCCTCCCGCCCATCTCTGCGCCGGTGAGGCTCACCCTGAGCTTGCCGCTGATCCGCTGGCCATCCCGAACGCATTTCAAGTCCGCAAGAGGAGGACTGCTCAGCTTGTAGTGCCGCTGCAGGAAGGCCTTGACAATCTCGATGGCCCGACGCTGCATCACACTCACAGCTGTCTCGTTGGTGAGTTTGCCGTCGGTGATGGATGCCTCGATGCTGAATGTCTTGTCGGTGGTCTTGCCGGGCGGCTCGATGAGCTGCAGGCCGGAGGCAGACTCGCCGTCGGCGAGCATATCGCTCTCGCAATACGTGTCCCGATCGGAATCGACGCTCTCAGCCTGAAGGGTGAACGCAAAAGCGTCAAGCCCAGCAGCACGCTGCGAGAGTTGTTTCGCACATTCGTTTTGCCCCCCTCTTACCATTGCATCGACAGTGTGGTGGCTCGACGCGACGCTGGAGGCCTTGACCGACGAACGAGACAGCAACTGCGTAACCACCGACGGGCAAGGAAGGAGACAAAAGTGCAATGTGTGACCAGCAGTGTAGGAGTGAAGTCGTGGAGTGGTTGGGGTACGTCTGATGGTGCGGAGGCTCGGTGGCTCCTGTTGTCGGTCCTCTGGATCTTGAAGGCATCGCTCCTTCGCTCAGTGCGCTCAGCCACTGATGGCGCCATCTGAAAAGCACAAAGAGCAGGACATGTGTGACAGGCGCGGCCAGCGCAGGCCTGTTCGTTGCCGGTGGTTGCTTACGCTTGTGGTGTTGCGGGCCGACGAGGGCTGTGACGGCTCCGACTGGCGGCCAGACGCATCCACGGCAGGATTGCCCGATGGCACAGCAGCACTGATGAATGACACCAAACAGAGAAAACACACAGCATAGCATCCCTCGCTGACATGCATGCATTGCATGGAGTGCTTTGAGCGGCTCACACCCACCCCCCACCTGCAGAAGAGTTCTGTGACGCCCGCAGCGACCGCCTCCCAGATGGACCGCTGCACCTCGGTGGGGATGTGGGGAGATGCATTCGAACAGAAACACTGAGCGAACTCGTCCAACGCATCCCCAAGCCCGCCGCCCTCCACCATGCCCATCACGATGCCGCACAGCCTGTCATAGGCGTCTTTTGTGGCCTGGAATTTGTCATCGAGCACCGCAATCTTGGGCTCCATCTTGTCGAGCAGGTCGGTCATAACGTCTCCGCTCTGGGTCATGATGTCGGTCTCCTTGTCGTTGATGGCGTTGATGTTGTCGTGAATGGCCTTGATGATGGGGGAGATGTGGTGCTCAATGACCTGTTGGACGAGTGACTCGGATGGTGGCCCACTGCTGCTGAGGGCGTGCAGGGACGCCGTTAGGTCTGACAGCCCCAGGAGGTTCACCATGTCAGACGAAGACGCACCCTGCACACACCACAGCACATAAGCGGACGAGAATGTGTGTCGACTGACACACAACGATCAGTTGGTTGCCTCCACCGGCCGGACGGACGCACCTGTCCGCTTGAATGCTGCCGCTGATAGCGCCTCTTCATGGCCCTCACCCAGGTATCACTCGCCTGCACCAAACCAGAACAACTTGCGCGCAGCTCATGACATGTATTGTACGCACCGCACCGCACCTTGAAATCAGCCTCTCCCAGCCGAGCAGCGACCTCGAGCCCTTTCTGTTTGATGCCCGCGGGCCGGATCTTTGCCGGATCATCATGTTCATCCATCCACTGGACGACCTCTCTCTCCACCTGCTGGTAGCGGGGCCTCCGATTTCTCACTCTGCCCGCGTCGGGGGCCGGGCCACCAGACTCTCTACGCTTCCTGACGGAATGGAACCTGCACACGTACAGTACAATCACATCACAGGACACCCAGATCTTTCACTTGCGTACCATGATTTGAACCTGTTCCCGTCGAGCCCCTTCTCCTGAGCGAACTTGCGAAGCGAGATGTTCTCATTCTTCTGACGGGCGATGAGCTCGTCGTAGAGCTGCTCCTTGTGAACCCATGCCACCTCCTCTGAACGGCTGCGCCCATTGCCCTCACCGGCACCGCTGCTCGACATACCCAGAGTCCAAAATAGTTGCTTGGCGCGGGCGCAGGGACCACCAAGTTCCGAGTTCCAAGATCCAAGTTCCAAGTTCCGGCGCCAGCCGTCCCAAAATGAGCGCGTTTTTCAGCCTCCCTCACTGCGAGCTAGGATTGCAGTCAAGTCCTAAGTCTTGTTCCACCGCGATCCCGCCATCCCCTTGGCCCGCCCTGGTGCTGCTCAATCGTGTTCCGCTTCAACCAACAGATGAGTTGTTGACCACCAGCCGATGACCGAGGAGAAAGAGGGTCTGGCTGCGGAGGAGATGGCGTGCACAGCATCGAGTGGAGTGCCCAGCATGTGATTGATGGCCGACATCACCACTGAAGTGTATGGCTTTGTCTTCTGGATACTGTCATACATCGCTTACGGTCCAACCACACACTCACCAGCCAAAGACAGACAGCGGCCAATCCAATCATCAGTGCGTGTGTGGTGTGGTGTGTGGGTTATGCATACGCGCAGGTGTGTATCTGTGCTGGGCCTTCATTCCAGAGAGTGTGCTGGAGCAGCTGGGCATCACAGTCTACCCAAGCAAGTGAGGGAGGAGAGAGCCAGGCAGACAGACGAATGAATGAATGCAGCAATGGATAGCAGGCATGTCACCCACCCACATGTAGGTACCTGTCTGTTCGTCTGTCTGTCTGTCTGTCTGTCTGTCTGTGGTGGTGTGTGGGTGTTCTGTCCTGTCTGCAGGTATTGGGCGATAGCCCTTCCCACCTACTTGTGTGTGTGTGTCGTGGCCGTGATGGTCTTGTACTACGCCTACTGCCTCACACTATACGTCCCACTCGACGATAACGACACACCACCAACTGGTGAGTGAGTGAGTACTCAGCTGACGAGCTAGCTGCACTCACCCACCCGCACCGGATGCACATACATACATGGGTATGTATGTGTATGTGTGTGGGGTCCGGGGGGACTCATTCATTGATTCATTCAGGTCAGTTCCCTGAGGAGCTAGCGTGCGAGCAGCCGTGCCCTCAGGCGAGCGCCGCTGTCTGCCCCTCCCCCTCTCCCTGCCCCTCTTCGTCCTTGCCCCCCTCGTCCCTCCACTCCCACGACATCGCACGAGACCTCATGGCACACCAGCAGCCATTCACTTACCGCAGCTGGACTGTCCGCACCGAGTCTCTCGACTCACCCAAAGTCATCGGCGGCAACAGACGCACCCTATCGACATGGGAGGACAGCATCCCTGCTGCTGCTGCTGCTGCTGCAGTCCAACAGCCCCCCTGCATGTCCCCTGGCCCCCCCTTCCCGCCCCCGCCCTCGTCATATTCCAGCCCATCCACCCTCCCACAGCCTCAGCTGGGGAGAGGCAGGGGGACCGTCCCGCCCCACCCCGGGATGACGCCAGTGGTGGGACGGCATCCGCCCCAAGACGTGGGCATCCGGGGCGTGACTGTCGATCGCAGCACGTCTGGGACGAGGACCACAGTGTCGACCATCGGCGCGCTGCCCTCGACAACAAGCTCCACATCGATGGTGGGGCCCGCCAACGCGACTGCCAACAACAATGCCGTGCAGCCAGTGGAGAGGGGTGTGAGTGAGGGGCAGGCCTGTGGTCCGCACAGGACACAAGACAGGCAGCGAGGGCCAGAGGTTGTCAGGTCCGTCACCGAAGAGCACGGCAGGGGTAGGGGCGGGGTTGGGGTTGGGGACAGTGGCATGGTTGTGCCGTCCATGGCGTCATCGTGCAGCGCACCGCCGTGTGAGGAGATGTCGAGTAAGGGCGGTGAGGAAGACAATGGCGTGAGGAGAAGGCGGGACGATGACGGGACGGGATAGGAGAAGAAGATGACTGACAGAGTGATGCGACGGCATGTAATGTGATGCCAGAGTGGGACTCCTGCGGGATGATACATATGGCTGGTGGATTGACATCTGTCGTGTGAACGCGATTGTTATGGCTTTGTTGCAGGGCTGTTTGCAATGAATGCAATCAGCCATGCGATGCCCTTCGCTAAGAAGCTCGCTTCTCCAGGAGCCCAGAAAGCGCATCTCCCTTGCAGCGCTCGTCCTTCCGCAGCAACAGCTGTGTTCACAGCGGGACACTGAACAGCCTGTGAAAAAAGGGCTTTGGGACATGACATCCGAGAAGCCGAGGGGTGAGGCAACAGGTGCATCTCAGCCGACCCAGGGTGCATCGCAGCCCTCAGCAGGGTCGGTGGCCAGTCGCCTGCACGCAGAAGAGGTCCTCTCGGGACAAAATGAAAGGAGAGCCGGCATATACGCTCTCATGGCCATTGTAAGCGGCCTTCTCAGTGCAGGCAGCCAGTGCTGAGTGCAGATGACACACCTCTCTCTCTCTGCGTGTGTGTGCGTGCGTGTGTGTGTGGTGCCAGGCCGTGTACATCTACCAGCGGGTGAACAAGAACCACCGTGGCTTCGAGGTACTAAAAGATCCGGCCTACTGGTGGGCCCCTTACATCCTCCGGTGCGCACCGACGCTGCTGCTGTGCGTCATGGCGGTGTTGGTGTTCAACAGCCAGCGGCGCCAGTGGCTGCTGCACCAGGCCGCCGGGCAAAGAGGCATCTTAGTCAACCTGCCCATCGTGTTCACCACCTCGCTCATCGTGGGACTGCTGCTCGCCACAGGCGCCAGCTGCGCTATGGAGAGGAGTGGCGAGAAGCATACGAGCAAGCACGACAGTGTCAAGTTCTGGCTGGTCATCGCATCGGTGCTGCACAGCCTCTCTGTTGCTCCAGTGGCCTACGCCTTCTGGGCCGACCGCAAGAGAGGCGCCTCGCTCGTTCAGTACCTCTGTGGCTTCCTGCTGCCCCTCGTTCCCTGCTGCCTCCTCGCCTACCAAGTACTGGAGGCTCGAAGGACCAACATGGCCTGGGGAATGGCTGTGCAGCTCTTGACACACGAGCTGGCCACAATGGCGGCTATCATGCGGCTGGGGTCGCTCAACTCGTCCCTCAGCAGCCAGCTGACGGGCCTGGGTGGTGTCCTGCTGCTGACGGCTGCCACCATAGTGCAGACGCTGCAGTTTCAGCTCAAGCAACGGCTGTTTGGGCAGTCGGAGCAGGCCAAGACGGTGGTGGTGGCGCTGGTCCTCTTTGGGTGGTTTGTCATGTCCCACTGTCTGTCGTGTGTGCCGCCCCTGGCCATCAAGCCAGAAGGAGACAAGGAGGGGGCAGCCAGCCCCCCGAGGGCTGAGAGAAGGACCAAGCCCAAGAAGGCGTAGAGCCCAAGAATATAGGCGTAGATGGCTAGGCATGGACATATGTATGCATGGACGCTCGCTCAGTGGCGGGGCGGTGTTGTGTGTACAGTTGGCAGGCACCCTCTTTCTTGTAGATTGGTGTAAGCGTGCAATTGCGTGTGTGTGTGTGTGTGTGTGTGACTCCAATGCATTAAGTGGATGAATGTATGTATGTCCGTGTCGGGCCTGCCAGGCATCCCATTCACCGTTGTTTGTGTCAGTACTGAGCTGTTTCTCCTCGACGCCGCCCAGCGGGCCGTCACTCAGCACAAGGAGCAGCTGCTCATGTACACGATGCAGTTCCTCAGACAGCGACAGGAGCAGCACGAAGACAAGAAACGACCACCGCCGGCAGCTGGTGCAGCGGGTGCACCCCACCGACCACGCAAGAAGGCCCGCAAGGCCGACAGCAGCGAGGCGGTCCCCGGTGCGGCAGCCAAGAGGGCACCGAAGCGGCGGAGGGGCGAGGGGTCCGCCGATTAGCGGCAGATCTCATTGAGGTGGACGAGTGGATCGGTTCATTGTGTATAGGCGACTGACTGACCGACCGTGTGCTGTGCATATGTAATATGTATGTCGACAGACAGACAGACAAACAGACAGACAGACAGACCAAAATGGCCCGATGCCGGAATGAAATGAACTGACGCACGGCAGTGCAACTCACAGACAGCGGCATCCATCTCGATCCGCAGCTTTCCGGCCGATCGAATGTGTCCATATACGCGAGAGGCAAAGCTTTCCGTGTACCCTCAGTGTCACTCACCGACCACACCCACAACAACAATTAAGCCCGTTGGCACCCGATGCGGCCATGCATCCACTGCAGCGGATAGACTGCCCTGCCCTGCGTCTCTCGTCCATCCGCGTCCGCGTTCTCTGACTGCCCTGCGTCTCTCTCCATGAGAACGGAGAACCTCTATCTTTCAGCTCATTCAAATTCTCTGCGCACACCGATTGTGTGTGCGTGTGTGTAAAAAAGCGAAATTGCTGTTTGAATGAGCTGTTTCTCCCACCCCACCACCACGATGGCCTTCTCCCTGGCGGCCTTCGCGCACAGCAAAGCCGGGAGTGTCTCTCTCCCTTTGTCAGTTAGATGTCGCGTGGCGTCTACCGACAACACACATGTCAGAAAGAAGCGGCTTGCATCTGCAGGCGCACACCGTTTGTGCGAGACGACAGCAACATTTACAGGGAAGTAAATTTCCATTTCGACGAGAAGTTGAGACAGGAGACGGCAAAAAGAAAAAGAGAAGCTGTGCGCTTTCGGTTTTCCCCCGCTTTCGCCACAGCCACACAGAAACGCTCTCTGTCCCTCGCCGTCCAGCCCACAGCCGTGCAAGCAATACCCACACGTCTGTCAGCCTCGTTTCGCAACAGCCTGCACCCTGCCGCCGCCAAAACAGAGATAAGTCGGCAGTGAGTGCACTGCACTGCAACCAGCGCAGCGAGTGACTGACGAGCCCGCGACACACGAGGGCGTTCGCCAGCAAAGGAGACGACCAGGGAGGAGAGGCCGCCGCTGACACGCGAGATTGATAAATCGTCAGCTGGTCGGCCCGATGATGCAGTCGACAGCCCCGATACTGGACCTGCCGGGCACGGTCGGAGCGCTCATGCCGATGCATCCGGACTTCGGTAAGTCAGCCAGCCACACACTACTTGCTGTCTGAGTTGGTCCCTCAGTGACGGGTTATATGCCATGGTGTTGTGTCTGTTGATATGGTGTGTGTGCCCTCCCTGATTGATGAATGCAGACAACTTTGATAGCACGTCGAGCGGCACCAACACCAACACCACGGGAGCCACGCCAGCCACACAGCCACCCGCCAACACACCCGACAACCACCCCAACCAGCCCAACCAGCCCAACCCCCACCCGACACCCCCGGCAGAGGAGGCCAACAACCCCCCCACCCACAACACCCACCCCCCCAACAACCGCCCGTCCGCCACAGCGAACACCGTGCAGGCGAGGCAGCTGGTGTGCCCGACCCCCAAGGACGCCTTCACTGCGTAGTAAGCCAACACGCACACCTCACTGACTGACACACCATCAAACACATCTTCTATGCATGTGTGTGTGTCTCACCTCTCTGTCTGTCTGTCTGCCTTGTCATGCAGTGTCAAGCAGAGGGCGTTTGACCGTTCCCTGTCGTCGGAGGGCCGTCACGAGTCGCCCCAGCAGCACTACGAGCGGAGCGTCCCTGCGGAGGAGGACCGCCTCATCATCGAGGCGGGCCTCAGCCGCGAGCGCTTCGACTCGATGTAAGTGGGCTGCAGTCAGTCTTTCTTTGGCCTACACACACACGAGGCACCCCCACATCCATGTGTGTCTGTGTCTCTGTGTGTGTCTCCCCTGTCTGTCTGTGCAGGGTGCTGTTGGGGGCGTACGCTCTCTGGGAAGGCGAGAAGACCGCAGGCCGCCCCGAGAAGTCATCAGAGCACTACTACTACGCTGCCCTGGCTGCCGAGAGGGAGGCACTCGCAATCAGCTACATCAACAAGATCCAGCGCAGCCGCCAGTCCACAAGTGCCTGATGTGTCCGTCCGTCAGTGGGTCGGTGGTGTGGATGGGCCGTAGAACAGTAGAGTTGGTTGGTTGCCGAGCAGACGGTTGCAGAGAGACTGATATATCCTAGCCAGTCGAAGGAGTGTGGTGGGGGTCAGCGGTGGACAGACAGACAGACAGACAGAGAGATATGACAAGGAGGGAGGGAGGGATGGAGTAGCACGGCGGTGGACACAGTGATAAGGATGGGGAGGAACTGGGGGCGGGGGTGGTGGTGGTGGACAGATCGTCTCTCGATCTCTGTCTCTCTGTCTGTGTGCGTGTGGTTGGTCCTGCCGACAAAGGGCTTGCTCTCTCTGTCCCGTCTATTTTTCTCCCTGTCTGTGTGCGTGTAAGGGGGGAGGGAGGGGGGGTGGAGGGAGCGGTGGAGGGAAGGGCTTGCTCTCTCTGTCCCGTCTATCTCTCTCTGTCTCTGTGTCTCGTTACGGTGCCTGTCGAGCCAGTCGTCGAGTGAGTGTGGTGGACAGACAGGCCGAGTGATATGATAAGGAGGGAGGGATGG